AAGATCAAGTTTTGAGGGAGAACGGAGGCTCGAGGGAAGAGAAATTCAAAAAGGAGGCAAAAAGGGGGGAGGGGGGGGTGGCCCTAGGGTAAAGAAAAGAAAAGAAAAAGACCCCCTTTATATAAGGTGGACCGGGTTGAACCAAACCGAACCGAACCGGACCGGACCCAGTTCGAACCAAAATCCAAATTGAAGCCGAACCGAGCATCGAAACGACTTCAAATCGAGCGACGGTTCAGTCCATCATTCACTCACCCCTCTCCCATTTGTTCGGAGGAGTTGGAGGATTTTTTGAGCCGATTTACTGCCTTTTTTTGGCTCATTTTAAGCCGGTTAGCTCATTTAGGCACAAAAACACTCCGAAAAGTATACGAGTATAAACTGCTTCTTAATACTCCAATAAGGTATATGAGTATAAACTATTCCCTATTTTTGGTTTGAGAAGTTCCTGGAGAATATTGTTTATAAATATTCTTAAGGATAACTCAACCACACTACGCCGGACAACGCGTTGTACATAAAGACTCGACGCCACAATCGATGGTCAGCTAAAAATTAGAAATCAGGAATCGACTTCAAAGTTCAAAATTCCGACAAACGGTCAGACAATAAATGCAGCACCGGAACTCTTACAGACTTTCGACAAAGCACCGAAAAGCCTGGAGAATTGAAGGAGTCAAGAACGGGAATCATTCCAAGATCCCATTACACCGACTAAAGGTGGGGGCAATCATATCCAAAGTATTCCAGACTCTTCTATAAAAGAACGAGACTGAAATACTTTGGAGGGGGTATCTGTAGGCATATAAAATTGCTTATAGGTCCCCTAGCATAGCTCGGCACAAACCGACGAACCAACGAGGCGACGAGATCGACGAATCGCACAGAAGCGACGGAATGCATCCACCCGCGTGCAGAATCAAGCTAATGAGTTGAGGAATCAACGAGTCATCCAACCGAGAGCGGACTCGGACGAATCACGATCGAATCAAGATCAATTTCGGACTCGAACTCAGAAGCGGATTTACTGCCAAATCAGGAATCCAACTTACTGCCAAATCAGATCATCAAATCAGAGTCTCAGATCAACCGAAACACGGACAAACGAGACTGGCCAGAGGTGGCCGACAATTCTCTTTTTGCAGCCACTGTCCTGAGAGCCTATAAATAGGCCTAGAGATGTTCATTTTCAGAGGTCGAACTTTCAAGAGCCGAAACTCTGCCGGATTGAAGAGTGAACTCGGAGCTTGAAGACCAGAAGACTTGCACCATTCAGATCTGATCCTCGGCGACCATCCACGTCAGAAAAGGCAGGATCTCGAGAGGAAGAAAGAACAGATCTGAGATCTACATGAGGTTACACTCCAGATCTAAGCTTGGTCTTAGATCTCGAGATCCGAGCGATTATTCCCTTGGTGGATTAATCCCTCCCGGCTATTATTCCCTTCGTGGAATAATACCCGCATACTCGTGTAGATCCGACCGGATCTAGATCGCGCGGTGGTCCACGGATTAACCCCGGCGCAGGCAAAGAACCCACCAAAGCGAGCGACCGCAAAACAGGAGCTCGTGATTTGTTCACAGAGGAGAGTTGTAATTTTTCTTTATTTTCTTTGATTTAGTTGTAACCGGATCTATAAAAGACCGGATCTTTTGTAACTAAAAAAAAAAGTTGTAACTCAAGATGACAATTATCTCATTAATGAAGAAAGCAACGGTTTTCCACGCGAACAGGGTCGACCTTGGATCCATAATAATCTTATAGTCCCTTCCACCCTCTATCATTGTCTCAAATATGTAGACGCTAATAATGAGGTCAAGATGGTGATTGGGGATAAGCAACCATTTAAGGGGCTGGAAAACTACTTTACCGACTCCCTTCTTTACGGTGCTGAGTCAGACACTAAACCATCGGCCCAAGACACGGACATCAGAGAAAAAGATGACACGGGCTTGATTATAATAGAGGTTTTGTATTAAATGACATTTTACCCTTTGTAATTAATCTTGGCAGTGGAGAATTATAAGATGATAGCTGTAATTGGCAACTTGCCGAAAAAGCAATAATTGACGATTTAGCGTACTCGCCTTCTCTTGATGAGATAATGAAGGGATTATACAATGATCCCGATTTACACATGTTGCTCCTATTATCTTGCGTGACAAAGAAATATATCCAAGACTCGTTCGGAACGACCATTGTCATTCCTGCCAAGAAAAAGGGTCAGAAAGAGATAATTTATGGTAAAGGCGAGATGTCTCTAATACCGGACCATTTTTCAAGAGATGATAACGATGATGAAAAACTCAGTCCTCACTTATCCAAATATAGTCCAGAAGCACGTAAACTCATGAAGAAATAGGGATACAATCTTACACTTGGAGAAGGACTTTGATTCGGTCGAGGTCCTCGAGTTCCGACTAAGGCTGCTTATGCCCCAAAAGAAAAACCTAATAATTACTACACATATGGAAGGGGCATAGGCTACGCCTCCTCATCCGATGACAAATGTTGCTGGCAAATCGGGAACCGATGGGCCAATCAAAGTAAGGATGGAGACTCATCTGATTCTTCAAATTAGGACTCCGACGTCAGCATCGGAGAGGCATTCAAAGGGTTGATGTTGAACATGGCCACAGTCAATCTTGTTAGACCCTAGAGGAGGGGTGATTAGGGTCTTATGCTAATCTAATTCGATTTTATGCCAATTAAAATTAATAACAAATTATTCTTGCAAGAGAGATATACAATATATTACAAGCAAGAATAATCAATATGAACAAAGAGCAATATCCTAGTAATGAGATATACTATGAGATATATGCAAGGATATATAATTAACACAAGGGTAAACAATCTAAACTAGATAGTGGGCAATATAATCAACAAGCAATATACAAAGGCGATATAAGATATGAACATAAAAATAAGTGTGCCAATGTAATCATAAAT